GAGAGACACACAGGTAGAGAGAGACACACAGGTGAGAGACCACAGGTGAGAGACAGACAGGTGAGAGACAGACAGGTGAGAGACAGACAGGTGAGAGACAGACAGGTGAGAGACAGACAGGTGAGAGACACACAGGTAGAGAGAGACAGGTGAGAGACAGACAGGTGAGAGACACACAGGTGAGAGACAGACAGGTGAGAGACAGACAGGTGAGAGAGAGACAGGTGAGAGACACACAGGTAGAGAGAGACAGGTGAGAGACAGACAGGTGAGAGACACACAGGTAGAGAGAGACAGGTGAGAGACACACAGGTGAGAGACACACAGGTAGAGAGAGACACACAGGTGAGAGACAGACAGGTGAGAGACACACAGGTGAGAGACACACAGGTAGAGAGAGACACACAGGTGAGAGAGAGACAGGTGAGAGACACACAGGTGAGAGACACAGGTGAGAGACACACAGGTAGAGAGAGACAGGTGAGAGACACACAGGTAGAGAGAGACAGGTGAGAGACACACAGGTGAGAGACAGACAGGTGAGAGACACACAGGTAGAGAGACACACAGGTGAGAGACACACAGGTGAGAGACAGACAGGTGAGAGACAGACAGGTGAGAGACACACAGGTAGAGAGACACACAGGTGAGAGACACACAGGTGAGAGACACACAGGTGAGAGACACACAGGTGAGAGACAGACAGGTGAGAGACACACAGGTAGAGAGAGACAGGTGAGAGACACACAGGTGAGAGACAGACAGGTGAGAGACAGACAGGTGAGAGACACACAGGTAGAGAGAGACAGGTGAGAGACACACAGGTGAGAGACACACAGGTGAGAGACAGACAGGTGAGAGGACAGACAGGTGAGAGACAGACAGGTGAGAGACACACAGGTGAGAGACAGACAGGTGAGAGACAGACAGGTGAGAGACACACAGGTGAGAGACAGACAGGTGAGAGACACACAGGTGAGAGACAGACAGGTGAGAGACAGACAGGTGAGAGACACACAGGTGAGAGACAGACAGGTGAGAGACACACAGGTGAGAGAGACAGGTGAGAGACACACAGGTGAGAGACAGACAGGTGAGAGACAGACAGGTGAGAGACAGACAGGTGAGAGACACACAGGTAGAGAGAGACAGGTGAGAGACAGACAGGTGAGAGACACACAGGTGAGAGACACACAGGTGAGAGACAGACAGGTGAGAGACAGACAGGTGAGAGAGAGACAGGTGAGAGACACACAGGTAGAGAGAGACAGGTGAGAGACACACAGGTAGAGAGAGACACACAGGTGAGAGAGACAGGTGAGAGACAGACAGGTGAGAGACAGACAGGTGAGAGACACACAGGTAGAGAGAGACAGGTGAGAGACACACAGGTGAGAGACACACAGGTAGAGAGAGACAGACAGGTGAGAGAGACAGGTGAGAGACACACAGGTGAGAGACACAGGTGAGAGACAGACAGGTGAGAGACACACAGGTAGAGAGAGACAGGTGAGAGACACACAGGTGAGATACAGACAGGTGAGAGACACACAGGTAGAGAGAGACAGGTGAGAGACACACAGGTGAGAGACACACAGGTGAGAGACACACAGGTGAGAGACACACAGGTGAGAGAGACACACAGGTGAGAGACACACAGGTAGAGAGAGACACACAGGTGAGAGACACACAGGTAGAGAGAGACACACAGGTGAGAGACAGACAGGTGAGAGACACACAGGTGAGAGACACACAGGTGAGAGACACACAGGTGAGAGACACACAGGTGAGAGACACACAGGTGAGAGACACACAGGTGAGAGACACACAGGTGAGAGAGACAGGTGAGAGACACACAGGTGAGAGACACACAGGTGAGAGACAGACAGGTGAGAGAGACAGGTGAGAGACACACAGGTGAGATACACACAGGTGAGAGACAGACAGGTGAGACACACAGAATATTCTCAAAAGATTCAGATATTTTTTCACTAAATATTCTGTCTTTTTTCTCCAGAATATATCAAAACAAGAGAGAAAAGAGTCCCTCTGAGAGACAGACAGGCGAGAGAGAGACAGGTGAGAGACAGACAGGTGAGAGACAGACAGGTGAGAGACAGACAGGAGAGGGACAGACAGGTGAGAGAGAGACAGGTGAGAGACAGACAGGTGAGAGACAGACAGGTGAGAGACAGACAGGAGAGGGACAGACAGGTGAGAGACAGACAGGTGAGAGACAGACAGGTACCTTTGTTCCAGAAGGTGTCGCTCTCATCTTCGACGTTGTCATGGTATTCAGTCGTCATGGCGATGTCTCCGTCTCGTCTCCTTCACGACAAAAAGACTGAAAACAGGCGGCGAGCCGGAGGTCATCGACCCTCAGAGACGCACTTTGAACTGTGTGTGTGTGTGTGTGTGTGTGTGTGTGTGTGTGTGTGTGTGTGTGTGTGTAATGTCCCTCTGTCTGACAAACATCAACGTGTTCCTCCTGCTGAACCTGAAACACTGCAGCTTCTCAGAAAGTGTTGTTGTGTTGAAACATTAAAACAACGGAAAGTTACTCATACTCATATGAAGCCTCCCTCTATTGCGAAATGTCTCCATGCGATCTGTAACCGCTTCCAGATGTCCCGCCCCTCATCATGTGCAATGTGTTGGAGCGCTGTGATGTCACTATGTCCCGCCCCTCATCACGTGCAATGTGTTGGAGCGCTGTGGTGTCACTATGTCCCGCCCCTCATCACGTGCAATGTGTTGGAGCGCTGTGATGTCACTATGTCCCGCCCCTCATCACGTGCAATGTGTTGGAGCGCTGTGATGTCACTATGTCCCGCCCCTCATCACGTGCAATGTGTTGGAGCGCTGTGATGTCACTATGTCCCGCCCCTCATCACGTGCAATGTGTTGGAGCGCTGTGATGTCACTATGTCCCGCCCCTCATCACGTGCAATGTGTTGGAGCGCTGTGGTGTCACTATGTCCCGCCCCTCATCACGTGCAATGTGTTGGAGCGCTGTGGTGTCACTATGTCCCGCCCTCATCACGTGCAATGTGTTGGAGCGCTGTGATGTCACTATGTCCCGCCCCTCATCACGTGCAATGTGTTGGAGCGCTGTGATGTCACTATGTCCCGCCCCTCATCACGTGCAATGTGTTGGAGCGCTGTGATGTCACTATGTCCCGCCCCTCATCACGTGCAATGTGTTGGAGCGCTGTGATGTCACTATGTCCCGCCCCTCATCACGTGCAATGTGTTGGAGCGCTGTGATGTCACTATGTCCCGCCCCTCATCACGTGCAATGTGTTGGAGCGCTGTGATGTCACTATGTCCCGCCCCTCATCACGTGCAATGTGTTGGAGCGCAGTGGTGTCACTATGTCCCGCCCCTCATCACGTGCAATGTGTTGGAGCGCTGTGGTGTCACTATATCCCGCCCCTCATCACGTGCAATGTGTTGGAGCGCTGTGGTGTCACTATGTCCCGCCCCTCATCACGTGCAATGTGTTGGAGCGCTGTGATGTCACTATGTCCCGCCCCTCATCACGTGCAATGTGTTGGAGCGCTGTGATGTCACTATGTCCCGCCCCTCATCACGTGCAATGTGTTGGAGCGCTGTGATGTCACTATGTCCCGCCCCTCATCACGTACAATGTGTTGGAGCGCAGTGATGTCACTATGTCCCGCCCCTCATCACGTACAATGTGTTGGAGCGCTGTGATGTCACTATGTCCCGCCCCTCATCACGTGCAATGTGTTGGAGCGCTGTGATGTCACTATGTCCCGCCCCTCATCACGTGCAATGTGTTGGAGCGCTGTGATGTCACTATGTCCCGCCCCTCATCACGTGCAATGTGTTGGAGCGCTGTGATGTCACTATGTCCCGCCCCTCATCACGTGCAATGTGTTGGAGCGCTGTGATGTCACTATGTCCAGCCCCTCATCACGTGCAATGTGTTGGAGCGCTGTGATGTCACTATGTCCAGCCCCTCATCACGTGCAATGTGTTGGAGCGCTGTGATGTCACTATGTCCCGCCCCTCATCACGTGCAATGTGTTGGAGCGCTGTGATGTCACTATGTCCCGCCCCTCATCACGTGCAATGTGTTGGAGCGCTGTGATGTCACTATGTCCCGCCCCTCATCACGTGCAATGTGTTGGAGCGCTGTGATGTCACTATGTCCCGCCCCTCATCACGTGCAATGTGTTGGAGCGCTGTGATGTCACTATGTCCCGCCCCTCATCACGTGCAATGTGTTGGAGCGCTGTGATGTCACTATGTCCCGCCCCTCATCACGTGCAATGTGTTGGAGCGCTGTGATGTCACTATGTCCCGCCCCTCATCACGTGCAATGTGTTGGAGCGCAGTGATGTCACTATGTCCCGCCCCTCATCACGTGCAATGTGTTGGAGCGCTGTGGTGTCACTATGTCCCGCCCCTCATCACGTGCAATGTGTTGGAGCGCTGTGGTGTCACTATGTCCCGCCCCTCATCACGTGCAATGTGTTGGAGCGCTGTGATGTCACTATGTCCCGCCCCTCATCACGTGCAATGTGTTGGAGCGCTGTGATGTCACTATGTCCCGCCCCTCATCACGTGCAATGTGTTGGAGCGCTGTGATGTCACTATGTCCCGCCCCTCATCACGTGCAATGTGTTGGAGCGCTGTGATGTCACTATGTCCCGCCCCTCATCACGTGCAATGTGTTGGAGCGCTGTGATGTCACTATGTCCCGCCCCTCATCACGTGCAATGTGTTGGAGCGCTGTGATGTCACTATGTCCCGCCCCTCATCACGTGCAATGTGTTGGAGCGCTGTGATGTCATTATGTCCCGCCCCTCATCACGTGCAATGTGTTGGAGCGCTGTGATGTCACTATGTCCCGCCCCTCATCACGTGCAATGTGTTGGAGCGCTGTGATGTCACTATGTTCTGAAAGTAAACAAAGGAGTGTAATGGAGGCGTTTCAGACTGAATAACATCACTCAGATATATCTACTGAATATTTATTGAATCACTCTCTGTTATATATCCTCAGAGGTCACCAGAGGTCATCAGAGGGTCACCAGAGGTCATCAGAGGGTCACCAGAGGTCATCAGAGGGTCACCAGAGGTTACCCCTCGGTCAGGTCGTCGTTGTAGAGCAGCAGCACGGCGGGGGGGCAGAGGTCAGAGGTCATCCTCAGGTCCTCCTGGTCCTCGTCTCGGACCTGGTTCTCCTCCAGAGTCCGGCTCAGGTCCAGTACCGCCCCCCCCGCTGTGCGTCCAGGTGTAGCTCCCGGCGTGAGCGTTGACCTCCAGGTACCGGAGCTGCACCTCCTGCAGGGTCTCCTCACTGCACACCTGAGACACATCGTTATACTACACCTCCTGCAGGGTCTCCTCACACCTGAGACACATCGTTATACTACACCTCCTGCAGGGTCTCCTCACACCTGAGACACATCGTTATACTACACCTCCTGCAGGTTCTCCTCACACCTGAGACACATCTTTATACTACACCTCCTGCAGGGTCTCCTCACACCTGAGACACATCGTTATACTACACCTCCTGCAGGGTCTCCTCACACCTGAGACACATCGTTATACTACACCTCCTGCAGGGTCTCCTCACACCTGAGACACATCGTTATACTACACCTCCTGCAGGGTCTCCTCACTGCACACCTGAGACACATCGTTATACTACACCTCCTGCAGGGTCTCCTCACACCTGAGACACATCGTTATACTACACCTCCTGCAGGGTCTCCTCACACCTGAGACACATCGTTATACTACACCTCCTGCAGGGTCTCCTCACACCTGAGACACATCGTTATACTACACCTCCTGCAGGGTCTCCTCACACCTGAGACACATCGTTATACTACACCTCCTGCAGGGTCTCCTCACACCTGAGACACATCGTTATACTACACCACCTGCAGGGTCTCCTCACTGCACACCTGAGACACATCTTTATACTACACCTCCTGCAGGGTCTCCTCACTGCACACCTGAGACACATCGTTATACTACACCTCCTGCAGGGTCTCCTCACACCTGAGACACATCGTTATACTACACCTCCTGCAGGGTCTCCTCACACCTGAGACACATCGTTATACTACACCTCCTGCAGGGTCTCCTCACACCTGAGACACATTGTTATACTACACCTCCTGCAGGGTCTCCTCACACCTGAGACACATCGTTATACTACACCTCCTGCAGGGTCTCCTTACCTGACATTACCTCATTAATTCATCTCAGGTGATAAACCAGTGTACCTGCAGCCGCTGCTCCTGGGATGTCAACGTGTTGACGATCCGGATCCAGCGGGTTTTCCTCGACAGGTTTCCCACCACGTAACGCTCGTCCCTCCACCAGGGGGCGCCCCTGATCGAGGGCCAATCAGAGCGAGGCCCGGCAGGGGGGACGTGCAGGAAGCGGCCCCTCGGGGTGAAGAACCTCACGCAGTTAGTGAGGGGGTCCACGTACCTGAGCACCTGAGAACAGAGACACAGGTGTTTTATTGGTGTTTTAATGGTATTTTAATGATATTATAATTGTATTTAATGGTGTTTTAATGGTATTTTAATGATATTATAATTGTATTTAATGGTGTTTTAATGGTATTTTAATGGTAATTTATTGGTATTTTTATGATATTTTAATGGTATTTTAATAGTATTTTAATGGTATTTTAATGATATTTTAATGGTATTTTATTGGTTTTGTAATGGTATTTTAATGGTGTTTTAATGGTGTTTTAATGGTATTTTAATGGTATTTTAATAGTATTTTAATGGTATTTTAATGGTGTTTTAATGGTATTTTAATGGTATTTTATTGGTTTTGTAATGGTATTTTAATGGTGTTTTAATGGTATTTTAATGGTATTTTAATAGAATTTTAATGGTATTTTAATGATATTTTAATGGTATTTTATTGGTTTTGTAATGGTATTTTAATGGTGTTTTAATTGTGTTTTAATGGTGTTTTAATTGTGTTTTAATGGTGTTTTAATGGTGTTTTAATGTTTTTTATTGGTATTTTAATGATATTTTAATGGTGTTTTAATGGTATTTTATTGGTATTTTTATGATATTTTAATGGTATTTTAATGGTAATTTAATGGTATTTTATTGGTATTTTAATGGTATTTTATTGGTATTTTAATGGTATTTTAATGGTAATTATTGGTATTTTTATGATATTTTAATAGTATTTTAATGGTATTTTAATAGTATTTTAATGGTATTTTAATGGTATTTTAATGGTGTTTTAATGGTATTATAATGGTATTTTAATGGTGTTTTAATGGTGTTTTAATTGTGTTTTAATGGTATTTTAATGGTGTTTTAATGGTGTTTTAATGGTTTTTTAATGGTATTATAATGGTATTTTAATGGTATTTTAATGGTAATTTAATTGTATTTTAATGATATTTTAATGGTGTTTTAATTATATTTTAATGGTAATTTAATGGTATTTTATTGGTATTTTAATGGTATTTTATTGGTATTTTATTGGTATTTTATTGGTATTTTAATGGTGTGTTAATGGTAATTTAATGGTATTTTATTGGTATTTTTATGATATTTTAATGGTATTTTAATGGTAATTTAATGGTATTTTATTGGTATTTTAATGATATTTTAATGGTGTGTTAATGATATTTTAATGGTAATTTAATGGTATTTTATTGATATTTTAATAGTATTTTAATGGTGTTTTAATGGTATTTTAATGGTATTTTATTGGTAATTTAATGATATTTTATTGGTATTTTAATGGTGTTTTAATGATATTTTAATGGTAATTTAATGGTATTTTATTGGTATTTTATTGGTATTTTATTGGTATTTTAATGGTATTTTAATGGTATTTTAATGGTATTTTAATGGTGTTTTAATGGTATTTTAATGGTATTTTAATTTTAATGGTGTTTTAATGGTATTTTATTGGTTTTGTAATGGTATTTTAATGGTGTTTTAATGGTATTTTAATGGTATTTTAATAGAATTTTAATGGTATTTTAATGATATTTTAATGGTATTTTATTGGTTTTGTAATGGTATTTTAATGGTGTTTTAATGGTGTTTTAATGGTATTTTAATGGTATTTTAATAGAATTTTAATGGTATTTTAATGGTGTTTTAATTGTGTTTTAATGGTGTTTTAATTGTGTTTTAATGGTGTTTTAATGGTGTTTTAATGTTTTTTATTGGTATTTTAATGATATTTTAATGGTGTTTTAATGGTATTTTATTGGTATTTTTATGATATTTTAATGGTATTTTAATGGTAATTTAATGGTATTTTATTGGTATTTTAATGGTATTTTATTGGTATTTTAATGGTATTTTAATGGTAATTTATTGGTATTTTTATGATATTTTAATAGTATTTTAATGGTATTTTAATAGTATTTTAATGGTATTTTAATGGTATTTTAATGGTATTTTAATGGTGTTTTAATGGTATTATAATGGTATTTTAATGGTGTTTTAATGGTGTTTTAATTGTGTTTTAATGGTATTTTAATGGTGTTTTAATGGTGTTTTAATGGTTTTTTAATGGTATTATAATGGTATTTTAATGGTATTTTAATGGTAATTTAATTGTATTTTAATGATATTTTAATGGTGTTTTAATTATATTTTAATGGTATTTTATTGGTATTTTAATGGTATTTTATTGGTATTTTATTGGTATTTTATTGGTATTTTAATGGTGTGTTAATGGTAATTTAATGGTATTTTATTGGTATTTTTATGATATTTTAATGGTATTTTAATGGTAATTTAATGGTATTTTATTGGTATTTTAATGATATTTTAATGGTGTGTTAATGATATTTTAATGGTAATTTAATGGTATTTTATTGATATTTTAATAGTATTTTAATGGTGTTTTAATGGTATTTTAATGGTATTTTATTGGTAATTTAATGATATTTTATTGGTATTTTAATGGTGTTTTAATGATATTTTAATGGTAATTTAATGGTATTTTATTGGTATTTTATTGGTATTTTATTGGTATTTTAATGGTATTTTAATGGTATTTTAATGGTATTTTAATGGTGTTTTAATGGTATTTTAATGGTATTTTAATTTTAATGGTGTTTTCAGTGAGATTTCGGTAGAACCTCCCACAGCTAACTGTGGGAGGTTCTACCGAAATCTCACTGAAAGGGGGTCCACGTTCTGGAGCACCTGAGCACAGAGACACACAGGTGAGCAGGAAACAGAGCTGCTCTCTGATTGGTCGGTTTCAGATCAGAATCAGAATACCTTCATCAGCCCCACAGAGGGGAAATGTACATTGTTACAGCAGAAAAGAGCCAAAGACAGCTTAATGTTAATAACTAAGAAGTATGCATTAAAAAATTAAGAATGTACAAAATGCACATCGTTGTTTGAGTGTCGCTCACGTCGTTGGTGTCGGGATCGAACCAGCGGCTGATGTCCCGCCCAGCGAACTCCAGGATGGGCAGCAGCAAGACGTCTCCTTCATTTCAAAAGTATTACAAAAGTATTTAGAGGACATTAAACATCTACAGATGGAGCCTCTTATTTTGGACCCCAGCATACAGCTTCCTGCCGACTGCCAGCCAGTTGCCTGCCAAAGACCAGTATTCAGGAATGTTAGGCCCTCCCACTATTCTCCAATTTCAGGGTTTAACCAGGAGATGGCGCTATATATTAAATAACTAAGACTTAGTTTTTCACAATAGAAAATGCAGATATTATATAAAAAACTAAAGTTAAAATCTTGTTTTTAATGCCCCAAGAGCAATAACATCTTGTCACAAGCTTTTTGGAAGAAAAAGACTGACTCAAGAGACCTGTAGTTGACTAATTACAGGCCTCAATAAAGTTCTGCCATTGGTTGTGAAAAACAACGGTGGACATAGTGGAAAGTGAAATTGAGTGAGTGATATCTCTTTGTATCACTCCATAAATCAGAAAATACTGTCAACAGCCCTAAAATATCAATTTTCACCATGTTTTTAGGTATAAAATGTTATATAATTCAGGCTATGAATTATATATGACCAAACCCTTCTGTAAAAGCCTTCATAATATTGATAGGAATATAACTGGAAGGTTTGGTGTATGTAACTGCTGAGTGATTCTACAATTTAGGGTACATTCCATGTCCATTGATGTCCATTGATGATAATTATAATTATTCTAACTATTTTCTTCAAAAATATCATATTTTGCCTATTATTGGAAAGCATGTTATAATATCACACAAACATTATGTGCATCCTATGCTTTATTTAGCTTGAAATGTGTCATGATGTTCTTAAATTGTCAGTTTTTGCTATGTCCGTTTTTCAGTTGAGGGTGTCTTGGATTCAAAATAATGAATAAAAACCATTAAAGTAAATTTAAAAAATGATTCATTTATTTCAAAAGTCTAAATACTAAAGAATAATAACATATTTTTAATTGATTTCCCCCTTTAAATAATTTAAATATCTTAATATATGAATGTCCGCAAAAGTTCTGTCAACTATGTTACTAACAGAACTTCCCCCTTTAACTCACAAATTGTTTGTCCCAATACCATGTCACCAGCATCACATGATGCCATGTTCCTCTTTGGCAGACATTTTGAACACACTGTGGTGATTGACCTCTAATCTTTACAATATTTTATGTATAATAGCACATGGTCAATTAATATACTCATTGACAATCAACAATGTTACGTACATTGTTATGGTTTACAATTGTTTAATGATTTTAATTCAATTATATGTTCAAATATGTTATATGTTCAAATGTGACGCTACTCTCTGCAGGTCCGCTCCATTTCCTACTGCAGATAAAAAAAAGCTAAAAATATGTATTTCTTAATAAACTAAATAGGCCACCATTGGTAGCAGTTCTCATTATATACTTCTCAGTAACTGCTCCCCTTAAATTAAATGTATTCTGTAGATAAATGTAAACGTTCACCATCCCCCACCCGCCTACTGTATGTTGCTTTTTGACATGTAAATGGGTAACTACCCCCCTCTGAGTGAATACCTGTTGTACCTGTCTGGGGCTAAGCCCATAGGACGATGCTCTGATGTCATCACCCTCGCACATTTGTCATATTTTTACAAAAAACGATGTTAACACTTTCTCGTTCTTAATATATGCTATATTTAGGGTCGATATGTGTTGAATTTACTTTAAAATAGCAGATCACTGTGATTCGGCGCCGTTTAGACGAGGATAAAACGGCTTGTATCTGCATAGTTTCGCGTGCGTATAGCCCTATTATTTAGACGAGGCCGATAGAAACTGACCACACAAACGATAACGGGTCCCAAGGTGGATAGATTTGCAAACGAAACGCTCTGGGGGGTCAACCGAGTCAGTTTAATCGCCTCTATACGAATATTGCCTGAAAAAATAACGACAGCCCCGCCTCTTCGCACCTCTTCCCACCTCTCCCCCGCCTCATTGCTGATTTGTTTCTACAACAACAACAACAAGAATGGCGGATCACAGGGTTGCTGTTGTGCTCCAGACGCTACTGACCATGATTAATATGTTAGTGCTACAACTACGGTGCTTCTACGACAACCACAAGCAACTAGTGGACATGAAGAACCACATACACGACATGTGGCTAAATCCACCGCGGAGAACAACCAGAAGGGCGACCAGGAGAAAGTTTTGGGTAAGACCGGGCAGAACTAGCAGTTGGTGGGACAATTTTGTCAATGGCGTTGTCGTGGACGATGAATGGAGGGAGAACTTCCGCATGTCCAAAGCCTCTGTCGTTGCCCTGACTGAAGAACTGCGCCCATATATCGAAAAGAAAACTACAAACATGAGGGCGCCAATTGATCCACTGAAAAGGGTTGCTGCGGTTCTTTATTACCTGAGCGACGAGGGAAGGCTACGGAAGACTGCTAACGCCTTCGGAGTTTCCCGCCCGTCTTTGTCCCTCATTATTAGGGAGACATGCAGAGCGATCACCATCCACCTGGGTCCAAAATACATCAAGCTGCCTTTTACTGAGCTCGAGACCGCGGATCTGGTTGAGGGGTTCCATTGTACACATGGCATGCCACAATGTTTAGGAGCAGTGGACGGAACCCACATCGAAATCAAGCAGCCATCTAACGACTCCACTAGTTACATCAACAGGAAAGGAAAATATTCCTTTAATGTACAGGCTGTCTGTGATTACAGGTACCGATTCATGGATGTCGTGGTAAAGTGGCCTGGGAGTGTGCATGATGCACGGGTCTTTGCTAATTCCAAGCTAAACATGTACTTAAAAACTGGAAAGATCCCTGCTCTGAAAAAACAGATTGTGGATGAAGAGGAGGCCATACCATGTATGTACATAGACTGTAAAAATTTTTTAAAGGTGTTTATTAAGATGTGATAAACATTCTTTGTTACATTCCCTGTCCTCACTGTGCAGCTCCTTCAGCGACAGGCTGCTGTACAATATTCATATACCTGGCTAGGTATATGTACCTGGCTGCTAAATCTGAGGACTGTTACAGGATTTTTTGTATTATATCCTAACTGTTTTTAGTACTTTTTAATGCATGTCACATGTGTGAAACTAAGCAAATAACTATGTGATTCTCCAATGTCAAAAGTGTGAAACTAAAAATAAAATTGGCTGCAACCACTTCCAGACTTTCTTTGAACTTAATGTGCAACAAATGTCATCATCCTCATGAATGAAGTTATATGGCCCATTCTACCGAGTCAGGTTGTCCATATATATTTTGTACTGTATTTATTTACACATATAGTAAAAGAACCGTACATTTTGATATGGTATTTTCAGACTGTATTGGCCACTAGCGAAACATAGTACATACACTGTAGTAAAAAACTATTATATTAACCTGTTAAGATTGTGTTACCTTCCCTTCTCTAAATAGTATTTTAACCAATATTTGAGGATTTTCAGTAAAAGTAATATAAGCAAATGTTGAATCAAAGTTGAATTTATACAATTCATAAAAATCATAATGCAAACTTTCTTTGTGAAATGCATAATACTGATCATATTGATTCCAGAGATGAAATAGAAGGGAATGAGGCTATAATGGGTAATTTTTTTGGTATTTTGAGCAAAACACTTCATAGACATGTTTTTTATATATCTGAGACTATAATATATGCCTAACAATAGTTTGGGCTTTACCATTAAGGCCCAATGTGACATATCACAGTTCAGATATTTGACACTAGGGGGGGGTTACTTTTCATAAATGTGGTGTATTTAGTCAAAATTAGGTTTACAAGGTGAAAAGGACTTACAGCCTCCCACACACTGATATAGATATCTCACTGACTGTAATGAGGGAGAAGGAAAGAGAGTGAGGAGAGTGCTTGCGGAGTACATTGACCCTTACATGAAAGACAAGACTGTTCTTTTATTTTAATAAGGTTTTTTATTAATAACATTATTTATAAATGTGTACACAGTAAAAGGGAAAAAAATACTTTTGCTAGCTAAAAAAAAAAGGCTTAAAAAAAAAGTGATTCTCCATTTGTACAAAGTCTGGTGGAGTTAAAAATAAAAATGTTTACAGACTTCCTTTGACCAAAAAGTGCTGTGAAAAAAAAAGAAGCTCACTGCTTTACTGCTCCTCCTCATCCAGTGACCGCCTGAATGAATATGGAGGAGATTGTTGCTGTGGGGTGTGTGGTACAGAGGGGTTTAATCTTGGTGTGGCCTTCGGGGTGGGTATGAGGGCACCTGGAAGTGTCCATATCCACTGTTGTTAGTATGAACTTGCATGAACTGGCTCATCAGGGAAAGGCCATTCTGTACAGTCACATTAATGTTGTCCATGGTGTTGTTCATACGATCCATGCTGGCTGCGCTGCGGCTGGTTGCTTCCTCCATTAAGTCCAACATCCGGCTTTTTAATCGCAGCTCTTCCTGCACCGCATGTTCAGCTGGAAGCTTCCTCTTCATGCGGTCACTCCTGTGGCCGTCCAGCCGTGCCTATAATAAACCAGAGAAAGTTTGAATTAATACACAATAGGACCATAGCCACCAGATAACAGAACACAAAAGGCATGTTGTGAAATAGCTCTCAATACATTTTACAAATAAAACAGCTCTAAATACTTTCTAATTTTACCAAGCTTAAACCGGTTCAGTTTTTCAGTGGAAGGTACTGCATCATAGTATATAGCAAGCCCTTTAAGATTGAAATCATGAACATACCTGGAGCAGATCCCTGCGATGACTCACAACCGCAGCAGTTGGCAGAGTTCCGTTGGATCTACTCGACTCTGGCAAATCCGTGGAATGCTCCAAACTCGGGGATGAACTTGGTCCGGGCGACGACTCTTCCATGTCGAACAAGTCCCCTTGTACCTGTTTTAGTTTCGCTGTAAGCTGGCCCTGTGAAATTGTGTTCTTCTCGTGAGGGAAATCTTTTTCAGTCGGGGTCCTCGGATATTGCGCCTGAAATAAGTCGGCTATCTCCGTATATTTAGGCTTGCAGGACTCCCAGTCTACATTATCCTGTATTTTTGTCGTCTTATACTCAAGTGTTACACTTAAAAGAAGTTCCACCTCGTCGTCGGACCACGAAAATAGCTCCATCTTCGTTTGTTTGTTTTGTTTGTGCCTCACACACATCGGGGGGGGGATCTTACTCGCTGCTTTTGGTGTATTTTGTGGCGGAAGTTACAGCGCCACTTACAGTCCCGCCATATGTACTACAGCTTTCGAGCGGTCTCGTGTGGAAGTACAGCGCCACTTACAGTCCCAGCATATGTACTACAGAGTTTCCAGCGGCCTCGTTTGAACAGACACGTTAAATGAAACAAATGCATGTGAACGGAAGACTTTTTTGAATACGAATACTGTGCATAAAACGCAAACGGCCTCGTGTGAGTGAACGTGTGTCTCTTCTCCGCGGCTCCTCCGTGCAGAGAGGCCCCCCCCCCCCCGTTTAAAGGGAACAATAGCTGTAAATCGATGCTCTTAGCTGAAGCTGTTAACAACAATCAGTGACAGTCTAGCTTTATTAAAATATACTGTAGGCATGTTTGTTTGCGTGCCATCTGTGCAGCAAAGGCAACAAGTGGTAAATACAGCATATGTCATTTTAACCCATCACAACCCCCTGCTTCCACTCCCACTGCTATTGAGTTTGACTTCATTATTTGCCCTACTTTTAAGTTTCTTTGATTTTTAATAAATAAATACAGAGACATTTTTTATATTTTTCAGACCAAAGAAACATAAAAAACTCTAACACATTTTATTTTATTTGTAAATGTTAAATCTGCTGAGAAATAAATACAGATGTTTTTTTCTTACCGCTTTTTTGAAAAAATATATAAAAATAAATACAGATTTAGAGATTTATTTTCGATTTTAAATATAAATAAAAAAGCTAAAAACAGGGAAAGGTTGTTATTTATTCCCCATGGAGGAAACGAGGTGTATCAAACGCTAAAATATGAATATATGAGCATTTACAGATCAATGATGAATATGTCTGTTATTACTCCACCTTTGTGCTCCTCCATCAGCGGGGTGAGGTCGCACACTTTGCCCAGGAAAGAGACCCACAGGTCGGCCTCCGTGTTGTGAGAGGACACCTCCAGCGGGGTGAAGAACCTCTTCCTCTTCATCACTTTATTATATCTCATGTATTTAATAAAAACTCAGGTTTAAAGCGACACATATAAATACCTCTGTTTACTCCGGAGAGTGTTGTCATGCTGTTACCACGGCAACACGTCACAAGGGGCGTGGCGACGTGGTGACGTGATGAAGTTGACGTGATGAAGAAAGTAGATTCAGATTTGTATGTAAATGTCTTTTTATTTGTTTTAAAACTAATGGTTTCACAGCAAAGGGTACTTTGAGTCAGGGAATTATTTAAAATAATATCATTTCTGATCAAATATATAAATCCTTATAAATGTTATATTTCTCTCTCTCTCTCTCTCTCCCCCTCTCTCTCCCCCTCTCTCTCCCCCTCTCTCTCTTTATGTCTCTCTCCCCTCAGGAATGCATCAGACGTGGCAAAGCTTCACTTTCTCCAACTTTCTGGAATAAGACAGAAATCTCACACCCCTCCTTTCCATTTGTCCTCCTCTGATTGGCTCACACGGAGCCCCTCTGCAATCGATTGGCTCTGTCAGAACGTCAATCGAACCTTCCTGCCCTCTCATTGGCTGACACTGAAAAGAGGGCGGGTTATGAATTTTTACTCTGTTGACATTGTCCTACCCCTCGCGATATCTTGACGCGAGATCTGAAAGCGGCTCGGGATTCAGAGGGGAGTGAAGACGGGAGAGATAACGGAGCAAAGCGACGGTTTTACGGTGTAAACGGCGCGGTTGACGGGGATAGAAACAGAAAACATGTCCGCCTGTCGTCTCCTCTGCCTGCTGGCTCTCTCTTTCCTCCAGAGCTCCGTGTGGGCCGGCCCTCTCTCTCCAGGTAAGGCCGCTCCAGAGGCTCTCTTCCCGGCCAGGCGCCGCAGAGAGACCCGCTGTAGCCCCGGTTCTCTTTAGCTTACTGCTAACCACATCTACTGTTAACCGATTAAACAGTAATATAAGTTTATTGATAAGCAGTTTCTAACCCTTTATAAGGTTTTATTTTTGTTTGAAACCTCTCCTAACTTCCTTATAACTTTGTTATAACTTTACCCTGTTGGCTTTTTAGAATAATAATGATTAATATACATGTGTAAGTCATAAGTCCCCTTTAAAGATATTAAAACATGATTAATAAAGCTATTTATTTAAACTGCTGGAGATATTTGTCACTGAAGAAACTCTAAAAATTGAGTTGTGTTCCTTAAATACTGTGATTTAATGCACCTTTATACTCATAATCCACTATATTTAGAATATAATGTGATAATATAATATATAGTATTGTCCCTCAGGGGAAATGTGTGCTGCTCATAAGATGTTACTACATATTAATACACAATTACAATTACAAAAACAAAACAGCTGAGCTAATCAAAACTATACTGATAGGGACAAAATGAATACTAGGATTTGATATATCTGCAATTAAAGTGTCCCTGTGATGCAGATATCACCTGGTTATTACTGAGATGTAACGAGGAGGAAGTGTGTGTGTGTGTGTGTGTGTGTGTGTGTGTCCGTGTGTGTGTGTCTGTGTGTGTGTGTGTGTGTGCGTGTGTGTGTGCGTGTGCGTGTGTTAAATGATAAGCCGGGGTCTCTGTGGTGAAGTTAATGAACTTTCCAGATGTTTCTCCAGCTGCTACACACACACACACAGTCATTATGATCCAGGGTTCATTCATGAAATATATAGGGTGTGTGTGTGTGTGTGTGTGTGTGTGTGTGTGTGTGTGTGTGTGTGTGTGTGTGTGTGTGTGTGTGTGTGTGTGTGTGTGTGTGTGTGTGTGTGTGTGTGTGTGTGTGTGTGTGTGTGTGTGTGTGTGTGTGTGTGTGTGTGTGTGTGTGTGTGTGTGTGTGTGTGTGTGTGTGGACAGCTGTGTGTGTGTAGTGTGGGGTTTGTTGGTTAACACTTGAGCAGCACTTCAGAGAGCAGAGGCTCAAAGAGTTTTAGTACCTCTCTGAACGTAAACCAGTCTCAGAATATGTGATAAATATTCAAAAAGTATTTTTAAAAAGATCAGAAAGTCTAAAAGATTGTTCTAACTGTATAAAACATGTTTGCTAATGATCCAGCTGCTCTGTGGAAACTGAACTCAAATATAAAAAACAACTGAAGAAATGTGTGAAAGATATCACAAAATGTCTGAGATGATATAAAAGGCAAAAGAAGTAATTAAATAAAGTCAGAGGAGATCCAGGTCAGAGCTGCGTGATGTCAGACACGTGTACTCTCTCTCTGCAGGACACACAGGCTTCTGTCTGCTCCAACACCTCACCTCCTTTCCTCCTCACCTCCTTACCTCCTTACCCCCTCACCTCCTTACCTTACCTCCTTACCCCCTCACCTCCTTACCTCCTCTCCTCCTCACTTCCTTACCTCCGCACCTCCTCACCCCCTCACCTCCTCACCTCTCCAGGAATGTATGAGGAATTTCCTTGAAGGCTGCGGGGCGGAGGAGAATTCAGCTTCTGTTCAAATACACCCAACAGCGTTTAGATGTAGTATAAATACACTGAGTATTAAAGTAGAATTAGAAGTAGAATATTTGAGGGAAAATGTCAAAATGCTTTCGGGGAAAACAGTCCGGGAAAAAAACTGGAATAAAATGTGGGTGAAATGTAAAACTTTGATAAAAAGTTTGAACATTTTAATATTTTAGGAACTAAAATCAGAGCTGATTATTAAACACTGTTGTGTTCTGAGTAGAGAGGCTGCTGCTGCTCAGTATGAATACACACTGTATGAAGTGAAGGGACATCAGAGCTAGTAGAGAGGCTGCTGCTGCTCAGTATGAATACACACTGTATGAAGTGAAGGGACATCAGAGCTAGGAGAGAGGCTGCTGCTGCTCAGTATGAATACACACTGTATGAAGTGAAGGGACATCAGAGCTAGGAGAGAAGCTGCTGCTCAGTATGAATACACACTGTATGAAGTGAAGGGACATCAGAGCTAGGAGAGAGGCTGCTGCTCAGTATGAATACACACTGTATGAAGTGAAGGGACATCAGAGCTAGGAGAGAGGCTGCTGCTCAGTATGAATACACACTGTATGAAGTGAAGGGACATCAGAGCTAGGAGAGAAGCTGCTGCTCAGTATGAATACACACTGTATGAAGTGAAGGGTCATCAGAGCTAGTAGAGAGGCTGCTGCTCAGTATGAATACACACTGTATGAAGTGAAGGGACATCAGAGCTAGTAGAGAGGCTGCTGCTCAGTATGAATACACACTGTATGAAGTGAAGGGACATCAGAGCTAGGAGAGAGGCTGCTGCTCAGTATGAATACACACTGTATGAAGTGAAGGGACATCAGAGCTAGGAGAGAGGCTGCTGCTCAGTATAAATACACACT